CTTACAGGTTGGAGCCAGAATCTGTCCCAGAACCAGAAKCTGATCCAAAACCAGAGGTTAAATCACAGCCAGAGGAGAATGAAGACCACCAAATTGTAGTTGGTAARTACAGACCTAAAGCTGGGCAGTATGACCCAAATTGTATATCATATATTCGTATAATGCATATTCAACAATTATACCGGCATCACAGTATATGATGGTACTTTTCATTTCATCACAGCTCAGCTGATAATAAAATGTACAAACRTTGCTTATTGATTAGCAAACCTCAAGTYACTCTCTTTCTGCATCGTCATTTCCCTCTACATTGTAGACAGTCGTCACACGTTTTCTGTACGAACCAGTATACCTCCCAGCACTATCCAGACCTTATATTGTTCCATTGTAAATACTGTGATGCATGTAGTACTTATTTCCTTTATTTAACCAGGAAAGTCCCATTGAGATTAAAAGCCTCTTTTTCAAGGGAGTCCTGGCCAAGAGGCAGCATAAAGTATACATTTACAGAGTTACACAATTAAAACACAATACAAACGATCACTATTAAAAGCATTTACAATTCAAGGAAGTAATTTCTATTGCCCTCAATCTAGACTTAAAGGCACTCAATGGGATCAGTTCAGTTAACTTTTAGACTTTTTGCAATAGTACACAAAGGTCATTTTCCCCAATTCTGTATGAAGAAATGGGACAGAGAGCAAGAAATAATCATTTGAACGCAACAAGTGTGAATCAACGCTTTTTCGTGTGATTAGATCACAGATGTAAGATGGTAACAGCCCAAGCAAAGCCTTATAAATAAAAGTGTACCAATGTCCCAACCTCCTCGTGGACAAAGAATGCCGTCCCACTCCAGTGTACAGATCACAATGATGAGTCGAGGCTTTACAGTTACAAACCTCAGAGAAGCATGATAGACAGCATCAATTCAGCAAGATCTTGTGCTGAGGTATTCATTTATAACAAGTCTCCATTATCTAAAATAGATAAAAATGCTGCTGTGACAAGCCGTTTTTTAACCGTAAAAGAAAAAAAAATTTTCGAAAAAAGAAGCCCAGTTTAAGTTTAAGTTTCTTCACAAGATTTTGGACATGGGGCTTGAAACTGAGGGAGTCATCAATCAAGAACCCAAGATATTTGTATGTGTGAACCATCTCCAGAATATTTCCTTCAAAAGTGGACACAGTGGGGATCATCAGAGGCACCTTTTTGTTGTTTGAAAATAGCATTAATTTAGTCTTATCAGCAATGAGTACCAGCTTTAGCTGCAGGAATGTGCGCTGGACAACATCAAAAACTCTCAGCAGAGATTCTACAGCTTTAACAACAGTCGATCCAAAACAGTAAATAATTGTGTCATCGGCATAAAATTGCATATTAGCATCTGACACATTTTGTCCTAATTCATTAATGTACATAATGAACAGGAGGGGGCCCAAGATTGAACCCTGTGGCACCCCTTGTGTACACTCATAAAATCAGAACACAAATCATCATATTTAATACAGAGTCCTGTTGCTTAAATAGTTTGACAACCAGGAAACCACATGATCTGACATTCCCAAACAACAAAGCCTGTACTTTAAGACAGCATGGTCCACAATGTCAAAATTATCAGACAAAAAGCATCTTTAAAAAGTCTTAGTAGCTTCAATAAACCAAAATGAAATGATGTGTTCAAAATCTATCCCTGCAATAAAATGATTAAACAAAACCACTGTTTCACCTGCTTCATTTATCATCTATATACAGATTTGCACTGGCTCTTAAAAATAAGGACCAAAGCATGTTCATAGTGAACTTAACAAGGAACATAACTTTTTAAGCTGTTGGAACTCTAATTTTAACACAAGAAAACACATTAGCAACACATTTCAGGAATAAATAATCATATATTAAAACAAATCAAAGCAAATGTTTGGAAAAAAATTGCAATGAAAAAAAAAAACAAGAAAACTTGACAAACAGAATTTGTGGTTTGTCTGTAGTTAATTGTTCCAGTGACTCTCAGCTTCAACGCCGTGTTCCCACACAGTAAAATGTGCTTTTTATTCTGCGGTGGACTGCTATAGCTGGAGTGTTTCACAGCGCCGTGAGCGCACATATTTTTAGAGTGAACGGCCCCTGTGGGAATCAGCAATGTGACCTGACATTAACATAACCAAACCGGTAACAAACGCTGGTATGAGATGAATTAAGAGAGATGTGTTATGTGATTAGCTGGAGTATTGCTGCACGACACAAAGGAAGGGTCATTTGAAGCTGCGTGAGGCTTCGCCGCAGTTTCAGTTTGTGTGGGAAAAGTCTCGGTGCTCGCAGAAGTCAGGCAGTGTGCAGCGACTCTAATGCATCTTGGCAATGAATAGTGTCCATTGATTCAACCACATCAAACTCACTTCCTCTTCACAGAGCCCCCCTTTAATGCACTTTTTTTTCCTGCATGTTTGTGTGTGATGTAAACTGAGAATGTGGGCAAAACAAAATAAATGCGTTCAGGGTGTGAATTTTTACAACTTCCTCCGACAATGCTGAATAAACTGCCAACAGGAGAGAAATCTTGGACCTAAATATCTGACACTGAGTGAGAGAGATTGATTACTTCAGGGCATTTCAACACTTGCTAGCCAAGGAAAGTCACGTTCAGTCTGCCTGATGAATTTCAGGAAGTGACACCAGGAAACAAACCCAAGACGCATTGCTGAGTTAACCTCAGACTTATGATATCAAGTYAGAAATTTTGGTGTGATCTGCTCTTTTCTGAGCATAGAGAGTGCCTCAGAGCACAATGACAGCAGTATCAGTGTGAGATCTCCTGAAGAGGAATGAAGCTGTAATGTCATTTATCTACAGGGCTTCTGTTAACGTTTGCTCCCAGGGAAGTACGAAATTGAGATAAAAGCTGGCCAATCGAGTGTCAGCCTGCCTACTGCCTGCCTGCGCCGATGACGCGCTGATAAAAGCGATGGATGAGAGCATGTACTGTGCCTTTAAACCTCAGTGGCTTCATTTATCTGGGGCTCTACATCAGCGGAGCTTGCAAATGTTATACTAAAATCAATACTCCGCTAACTGGCGTGCTCCTTTTTTATTACACGTTTAGTCGTGACGTTAAATATGACTCGTTTTCCAGAGCGGCAAAATTTTCCAGATTTATGCTGGTACTGAGGGGCGTCTCTATCAGTGGTCTCAGATGTGACGGTCTGGTTTATGAATGTGGAGACAGAACAAGTTCCACAGGGAGCTTTAAACTGGGCGCATGCTGCACGACTTAAAGCCCAGAACYATTATGGTCTGATCCAGAATTTAATATTTTAGAACTTCTTGTTTTGCATACATAACATAAAAAATGACATTCTTTAACAGAGTGCACATTGTTTGTCACTTATTCAAAGTATTAAACTAACATCATCATATGAAATGAAATGAATGACACTTTATTGATTCCATGATGGGAAATTATACGGGGTGCCATTTGTAAAGT